ATCTGTTCCTTCACCCCCCACATCCTTTATTCTAGGCCTCTCGCCGGATGCTGGACGATGAACTAACTGCTAGTTTGTCAATACAGAGCGAAACGTTCGCCTACAACCACAACCAGTCGAGCACAATCAGCGAGGAGGAGTCTAACGCCACCTACGAACGTATCTTCCCGCTCGGCCCGGACTACCAGGAGCCTTCACGCATCATATGTAAACTGCCGGAGTTTTCTCAGAGCTCAGAGGAGTCTGGTAGGTGGACAGATGGGACTGCTTGCTTACGTATAAACTCAGATAAACCTCATCCTGTCGAGTGTTAAACTGTATGTTGTGCTGTGTATGGTGAGTTTTGCTTTCAATTCTGGTATAAAAACCAATTCTCAAACATTCTAACTAATGTAATTGATGTTATCTAAAAAAACATTTTAGGAAAGTTACAGTTGATTTTCATATTGTGTTGAACGTAATTAGACAAAGTATATGAGGAACTCTGTCTGTCTCCTTCAAAATGACCAACCCTGCCCCCAAAATGAGGAAAGATGGCAAACATAAACTGGATAAATCTTTCCATCAGTTAACAGCTTCTCTTTATCAAAACAATGATAGAAAGTCATCAGTAACAAATTGCTGGAAAAAGTTACACAAAGATTAGAAAAACAATATCGCTTAAAGGGTCTGCGGTTTCCCCAGTTGATATGTTGAAGGTTAAATACATTATCAACATTATCTTATTCCTCTTAGTTACATTTTCCATGCTGTGTTCCAGCTTCTACCAGCACAGCAGCGTCTAAATCCACCTCAACGACTGCAGTGCAAGATGGCGCCCCTCACTACGCAGAGGCCGACATTGTGAACCTGCAGGGTGTGACAGGAAGCAACACGTACGCCATCCCTGCGCTGACTATGGACCTGCTGTCAGGGAAGGACGTCGCAGTGGAGGAGTTCCCCCGAAAGATGCTCACGTTCAAAGAGAAGCTGGGAGAGGGCCAGTTTGGAGAGGTTTGAACCCTTTATCAGTTTGCTGCAAGTTTTCTGACAGATCTAGATGCTCTTAAAAGCACAAGTTATACATGATGCTTTCCTCTGCTTCCTTTTTCTCTCAGGTGCACCTGTGTGAAGCAGACGGGATGCAGGAGTTCATGAACAAAGAGTTTTTATTTGACATCCCTGTGGATCAGCCAGTTTTAGTGGCTGTGAAGATGCTCCGTTCAGACGCCAGCAAAAATGCAAGGTATTGATTTCAGAGTGATCAGCACCAAATGCCTCAGGATTAGCCTGTGCTGAAACTGAAAATATATCTTGAAATGAACATGTTGAAGTAATAACATTCTGATGTATTTCTTTGTGAAGTAAGTCGTTTACAGTACTTTTTGTCTTTTGGTAGGAATGACTTCCTGAAGGAGATAAAGATCATGTCACGTTTGAAGGATCCCAACATCATCCGCCTGCTAGCTGTGTGCATCCACAGCGACCCTCTCTGTATGATCACAGAGTACATGGAGAACGGAGATCTCAACCAGTTTCTGTCCCGCCACGAGCCCGAGGGACAACTCGCTCTGCTCAGCAACGCACCTACTGTCAGGTGAGTGGTGGTGAACACACTAGATCTCTATATGTAGGTCTATTTTTTTCAGTTTTTCAATCCACAACACACAACCCTGTTTCCTCTCTTTTTTCTCCAGTTTCAGTAATCTGTGCTATATGGTGGCTCAGATAGCATCGGGGATGAAGTACCTCTCCTCTCTGAACTTTGTCCATCGAGACTTGGCCACGCGGAATTGCCTGGTTGGTAAAAACTACACGATAAAGATTGCTGACTTTGGCATGAGCAGAAACCTGTACAGTGGGGACTACTACCGTATCCAGGGCCGAGCCGTGCTGCCGATACGCTGGATGTCATGGGAGAGCATCCTGCTGGTGAGCACCACTACTTAAAGGAATATTTCACCACAAAAATGACCATTTGTTTACCAATCAATCAACCTTGGTTACCCTTGATTCTTGAAGAAACTGATTTTCTCGCATGGCTCACCAGTAAATGAATAGTCTGAAAACAGAGAATATATTTGATAAAGGAAGGAAACGGGGACACGGTTTAACAAAAGCGAAACTATATCACAACATCTGTTTACAAACTCACACTGCAGAATAATTTTGTGTCATTTATTCACTCACATGCTTACTAGTTTGTTTGGCCTTATCGCTTAAACAATACTATGTACAAAATTCTGGTTAAATTAAAAGTCTGGGTTCAGCAAACATGCATGTGATTGGGAAGTAGTGAGCAACAAGACTTGGACTATAATGCATGAGTTGTGTGTGAGTTTATAAACAAAGGTTTGGTGTAGTTTTCAGTTGTTGAAGATGGCCATTTACTTACATTTATCAAGAAATGTCTCCAATATTTATGATTCTTCATTCCGGTTGGAGGTGAGAAAAACAAGTTTTCTTTAAGAATGAAAAGTAACATGGGATGAATAGTGGGGGTACATTTTAAGGATATGACTTTTATCACACACCAAAAATACTTCTTTCTTGCCAATCTCATGGACATATCACCACCTTCTGTTGTGCAGGGTAAGTTCACCACAGCCAGTGATGTGTGGGCCTTCGGGGTGACTCTGTGGGAGATACTGAACTTCTGCAAGGAGCAACCCTACTCTCAGCTCACTGACGAGCAGGTGATAGAAAACACAGGGGAGTTTTTCAGGGACCAAAAAAGACAGGTGAGTGTTCTTCCAAACATTTCACATACATATAAAGATCTGCGTATCTGTGGCTTAACTTGTTGACCCCTTCATGCAGATCTACCTGCCTCAGCCTGTGCTGTGTCCGGACTCGCTCTACAAGATCATGCTGAGCTGCTGGAGGAGGAACACGAAGGAAAGGCCCTCCTTCCAGGAAATACACCGAGCCCTCCTGGATATACAGCCTTAATCTGGGGCAATGTTTAAGACAGTGTTGGTGCAAGACAAGAGTAAACCATGATTCAGACACAATCCAGGTTAGAGCTATCATATTTCAGTAGAGAAATATGATGAGAGCCTCCTGCTACGACTGTTTCATGGACTCTACAAACATGGACTACCAAAGACTTTTGATGTGTCTCAGTTTGAGTTTAATCGGCACAATCACGTTAGCTAAGATGTTTTATAGACATACAAGTATTCTCAAGGTTGTGAGGTGTGTTGATGAAGCCAAAAATTAAATGTAGCAATTGACATTCGGCACTTTTAAAAATGTATATTATTTTCATTTTATCATTTCAAATTTCCCATGTTACAGTGTTTGATTACACTGTTGAAAAACTTGTGTTTTCTTTGGAAGACTGCTTGAATGTAGAGAGTGAAAGGTGCAGCCAACCATTACGGTTGCATTTCAAACATTTCATCTCAGTTTTAAAGCTCCACTCATTGAGAATATCATCAAGTATCTCAGTGTTTCTCATCTCCCTGCAGTCTTTCATCTGTGATTTGAACATGAAGTGTACATGACTGTGTTTGTTTAAAAGATACGTCTTAATCTCAAATAACAATATTTTGTATTGATATTTATATGTTTAAATGTGTTTTTCTGTTCATCTTTTGTCGCTATATTTGTAAATTAATATTCTCTTTAAATTGACGTGTTTGGAGCATCATATTTGATGTGGTTCTGTAACTTTCCCGCTCACTTTTGGGATCTACCAAACATTTGTTCTTTTCTACTTTCAACTGTTATCATTTTGCATTCATCACAAACTAAGATCACTATTTGATAGGTGATCAGATGTTGCAACATGCTTGTCTTGAACACAGGCTGTGTTTTGATATGTTGGTTTAAAGGGGCCCTGTTATGCTTTTTCTGAGATGTCCCTTTCCTGTAGTATGTTATATAGGTTTTTCTGCATGTAAATGGTCTGCAAAGGCTAATATCCCAAAGTTCACTCACATTGTACTTGACAGGCTAAGGGGCGGGACATCTCTAAGTGGTTGACGAATCACAACACGTCGGCCAGCTAACCAATCAGAGCACACTCTGCTCTGGTTTCAGACAGAGGGTGAAAAGAGGTGCTGCAGCACAGGCACAATAGGAAAAAGAAAGACCTTTTTGAACATTAAAGCATGGAAACTGAAAAGTAGCATAATGGGGCCTTTTAATAGTATGTGTCATTAGGAAGATGCTACCGAATGTGTTGTGAGTGTTGAAGAAGTGAATGCCTGCTTATGGTTAGTCTACGTCGACAAAGAAAGTGTATTTCCTTTTTAAATGAGAAAGGTGAAGGAAATGTAGAAATACAACCCGCCGAAGACTCATCTGCGATTTTAGTTATAGTTTGTTCTTTCTTTTGTTGATGTATACTGGAGTCGTTTCTCTTATTTCCTCATACTTCTGTGTATAACTATCTACTAGCTTGAATTTAATACTGCATACCACTGTTGTTTTTCAGCCACTTCAGCTGTATTTTACAGGCTCTCCCCTCTTATCAGAGGCCTTTGTCCCACTCACCTTCTCCATAAAAGAGACTCATATCTGCCGTTATGTGTTTCAACTTTTATGTGGAAGTCCTCCATATCTCTCTGGGTGAGGTGAAATAATCTTTACGTCTAAGTTAACCATGATATGCATTTTGGATAACCATTTGATCGATGTGAAGCATTTGGTGATTCCCATTGGATAAATTAATATTTTCACTAAATGTTTTATTATCTCTTTTTTTAATTAAATGACTATGGAGCAGATGTATAGTTGTAAAAGTGTAGTGGCACCCCGACAGATTTCACAATTGATTTAATTACACATTTGTAGTCAACGCTTTTCAGTGAAAATGATTCTAAATATGTTGTACATTGGTTGAAAAAACACAAATAAAAATTTAACTGGGAACTCTATCTGCTTCATTCCTATCTGACGCTGAGTGGGCGGTGCTTCATGCTGAGCAACATGGAGTCAACCTCTCATTGGCTGATCGCTGCTGCAGTGTCCAATCACATCGATGGGGAGGGGTAAAGGGCATGAGTCCACATCCTTGTTGGCAGGACTTGTTGGCTTGCGTAACTTTTGAACAAACAGTTGGTCGTACATTTTGTGTTTTTGGTTTGCAGTTTTGTTTCTAGTTTGTGCAAGAGAAGATGAATAAGGTGGTGTTGGTGACTGGCGCTAATAGGTAATGTCTGGCAGCTTAGGTGATGAATTCATGATATGAGTCTTCTAGTTCATTTGTAGCTGTTGTTATTGATCAGAAACAGAACCGGTTTTATTATTATAAAGTAGGCCTAGTCTTACACAAACCAGGAAATGGTGCCTACGCCTACAAAGACACAGAAAAAATAAGATACTTTTTTTTAAAAGCAAAATATAATACTACTGAAGAAACTATTTGAAAAGAAAACTATTTTAAAGACTGTTGTTACCATTAAAGACAGTATTTACGTAGTACGTGTATGAAACTGATCTTTATATATATGTCAACTTTTGAAACCTCCCTGTCAAGAAATATCTAGCCCAACTACCTGTATCATTTTGTACATTAAAGTATTTTGCTTATAAATGCAAACTGTAAATGCCTTCATTATATGTTTTTCATTACATTGTGTATGTCTCCCTGCAGTGGCATCGGCCTGGGTCTGTGTGAGCGGCTCCTGCAGGACAATGAGAGCCTCCAGCTGTGTCTGGCCTGCAGGAACATGCAGCGGGCTCAGGCTGCCCGCTCCGCCCTGCTGACCTCTCACCCCTCAGCTCAGGTGGCTCTCCTGCAGATGGACACCAGCAGCATCTCCTCCGTCCTCGCTGCTGCACAGGAGGTCAAACTCAGGTGGGAGGTCATAGATCTGTCACTTAAACACTCAGGAGATTCGCATAAAAGCACACAAATGAACACACTGGTGGTGCTTAAAGCTAAGGTAATACAACAGTAAAAGAGACAGAATAAATGTTGGTCTTATTAAGACTGAGAAAGACTTTTTTTATACTTTCTGTCACACAAATTAAGCATTTGCATATCAATGTGCCTCAATTTGGACCATCAACCTTTAGCATTCTGAAGCAGGAAATACACTCATAACAGAAATACAGCCAGGATGCAAAGATTAACCTGTATAAACTGAATGAATACATAAACAGTAAAGCAATTATGTCAACAACAAAGATTACTTTATCGTTACATTACATAACATTTCATTTAACTCACGCTTCCAAAGCGACTTAATATAAAGAATACAGTATTACTTCAACATAGCTGAGGGTTAGACTAGGTTTCTTTTTCAGAAACAAGTCCTGTTTCTCTTTTGAAGCCAGAAAAAGGCTAGTCACTGTGACCTTTTTACCTGTGCTAGACTATGGTGATTTGATCTATATGAATGCACCTGCCCATTGCCTGGAAAGGTTAGATGCCGCCTATCACAGTGCTCTGAGATTTGTTACTAACTGTAAAGTACTTACTCATCACTGTACCCTGTATGCCAAGGCAGGTCTGCCTTCACTTACTGTTCGGAGGCTCAGTCATTGGTACATATTCATATATAAAGCCATGCTGGGTAAACTACCGACTTATATATGCTCTTTGATCTCACGGACAGTGGCAAGTAGCTATTGCCTGAGATCCCAGGATGTGTTCTTATTACATGTGCCAAGTGCTAGGACTGTTTTAGGTACTAAAGCTTTTATGTGCGCTGCTCCTCTAGCTTGGAACACTATGCAAAAAACATTGAAACTGAGCATTTTGATTCCCTTGCATCATTTTAAAGCACGGCTGGATGAAATGTTATTGGATACCTGTCACTGTAAATAGGTTGCTAATGTATACCCCTGTAATTATGTTGTGATGTCCTTTTGTTTTCTGTTGTTTTTATGTGTAACTAATGTACCGCAGGTCTCCCTTGAAAAAGAGATCGTTGATCTCAATGGGATTTTTTAACCTGGTTAAATAAAGGTTACAAACAAACAAACAATGGTACACAATACACATTCAAATAAAAAAGACATCAATATAGCACATGTTCATCCATAGACAATGTGCTCTATGTGTGTGAATTGTCTCCTGCAGGTATAACCGGCTGGACTGCCTCTACCTGAATGCAGGCATCATGCCAAACCCACAATTCGATGTAAATGCATTTTTCAAAGGTCTTTTCTCCAGGTACTTTTTACTTTTAAAGATTCTCCTTAATTGATAAGCTGTGTAAGTAGCTTTATATGCTTAAAATGTCCAGTCTATATAAAGATTTAAAAGGAATGTATTTAAAACCTTTCCTATGCTGCCTTTCAAAGCTTCTCTAACTTTGTTATTTGTTGCAGTGGTATCATCACGATGTTTACGACAGGTCAGGGGATCCTTACACAGAAGGACTGCGTCACCGCTGACAGCCTGCAGGAAGTTTTTGCAACAAACCTCTTTGGTCACTTTTTATTAGTGAGTACTTACTCTTATGCCTCCTGAATTATCTGGTATATGTTTTGAACAACAAAGAATCTAATACAAAACCAGATTTCCTTTAGTTTTCTGAAAAACAGTAATACTTTAACTGTTTCCCCTTGATGGGATCAGGTGATACTGGATCCGTCTGTCACTTGGCAACGATGCTCATTAAAAATTAACAGGACTGTCCTGGGCTGGAGGACGCTGCGGACCGTATCGAGCTTACTGTGCATTAGCAGATTAAAGATTCATTCTGACCTGTATTAAGTTTCCATCACAGACAAGTGTCCTCAAAGCTCCTCTAGTAAAAATCTGTCTTTGCAGCTGTATTAAAAAAACTCTTCATTACGGCTCAGAGACATATACATTTTTTGAGACGGTATTTTTGAAACATTTAACCAAATTTGGGAGGAATTGAACTTCCCTGATTAGTTTAAGGAATCTGAAATGACTTTAGTGATACTAGATACGAAAGGAGATGCCATTGTTGTTGCAACTTAAAATCTCTAGTATATCTTTTTAAAAGAAGTGTTATGTACTAATTTCTTGAGGCCTATGCAGTTACACACACTTTATATTGTAGTCTTAACAAAGATGATAGATATATTTGAACAACATTGTAAGTATGATTTACACATCAGCTCAAATAGCTTGCTATGGTTAGAAACAAACAAAAAGGGTTTTGTAAAATAAACGTATGTTACCGCTCGTCCTGGGGCCTACAACAATTTACTAAACCTAAAGCACAAAAAATATAATAAACTAAATTCCGAATGGAGCGACAAATGTACGAGGGAATAAGGAATTTACTTCTACAATCTTAGTTTAACATAAAGGTGTGTAAATTGCATTGTAAGAGATATTGGTAAGATACAGTAAGATACAGTAATATCTGTTTCCCACACAAACATTTTTTAATTCTGCCTTGTTTCAAGACAAACTGCTGGGGAAACAATGAAGAAGTTCCTCATTGTTTCATGAAATAGTATTACCTGGCTGAAACTGAGCATCAATGAATTGCTAAGATGTATTTTTTGATGATTATTATAATGTTGTGTTGTTTTTCTATGTCCAGATCAGGGAGCTGGAACCAGTTCTGTGTGATGCCGGCCACACATCCCAGCTGATCTGGACCTCCTCAAGTAACGCTCACCGCTCGGCTTTTAACCTCGAAGACATGCAGCACCAGAGAGGCACACAACCTTACAGCTCCTCCAAATATGCCTCGGACCTGCTCAGCCTCGCGCTCAACACACACCACAACAAACAGGTCGACTCAGAAACACACCTCACATGCTGTGTACCCATACCTGTAAAATTAACTTTTTTCTTTTAACTCCAATGATGTCTATAAATGTGATCATGTGATCATGTGTTCATTCTGCTCTCCAGGGTTTATACTCATCTGTAATTTGTCCTGGTTTCGTGATGACCAATATGACCTACGGTCTCCTGCCCTCATTCCCAGCTTTCCTCTGGACCCTGCTCATGCCTGTCTTTTGGCTTGTGAGTGCATCTGACAGTAAAATGTCAGACACACACACATCAGAAATGATTTTGGTTGTTTCTGAATGCATTTTTCTTTTGTGATCTCAGATAAGGATGTTCTGCAACAACTTCACCCTGAACCCTTATAATGGATCTGAAGCCCTGGTAGGTAAATCAAATATTTCTGGTTTCATGCACAATTGTGTACAAATTAAATCATGATTGCTGCTCTTTCTTGTAGTTCTGGCTCTTTAAGCAAAAGCCTGAATCACTGGACCCTCAAGCTAAGTACCATAGCTCAACATCTGGGCTAGGCAACAACTACATACAGCCACGCAAGGTATGGCAAATAATACTATACAGTACATTTCATTTAAAACAATCTTGTAAAATAGTTAATGTTGTGTGTTGTCTGTTCCCCTCTGCAGATGGATATTGATTTGGAAACATCCGAGGCATTGTATGAGCAACTACTGCAACTAGAAAGTGAAGTAAGAAAGAAACTAAAAGGGAAACAAAAATAATCCTGGAAAGTTCACAGCAGTCCTGCAGGACCTGGATCATCATGGTGTTTACAGGATGACACGATTCTGGGATGGAGACTATTGTATTTCGGTCTGGTGATTTGGGACCAGCATGTACGCTAACAGAAATAGCTTTGTCCTTTGCCTGAGACTGCAACATACAAGACTGCATTTACAGTTCAAATCAACAAGTTACAGTGACTCTAAGCATGAAATTAAATGTCTGTTATGGACAAAGAATTATGTATGTTGTAATGGTTTAACAATAAACTCACTTTTGCCTGTTCTTATCCAACTTCTTGCAAGTCAATTCATTCCATAAAGCACTATAACATGAGGATAACAACACGTGTGCAGTCATGGATGGTAGGCTAGGTCACAATCTGTCTATCCTTCGCTGTCCAGGAGGGACTCTGTCCAATGTGGTTGTTAATGCCATGATCCTCACGGCAAAATGCATTGCAGTCTGACATCAGACTATCGGTATCATCCCAAAAGTTGACATTAGTGGTCTGTGTGAGCCCCTCTGCGGTGTACGGCGGTGCCGGCAGATGCGTACAGACGCACCTGAAATTCCTCTCCGGAGGATTTGGAGCGTTAAACCAACAGTCGTCCCCGGGTTCCTCTGCTTGTTTCCCGGCCACACACTCCTCCTCTGCTCCGCTCAGTTTCGGGTTGCAAAAAGCCCAGACCATCCCGCAGAAATAGACGAAAAACGAGCCCATTACCATGACCATGAGCGCGTAGGACTCTATCATTGCTTTGGTGACTGGAGAAGTCATCTTCGGCTGCGCAGGAACAATAGTCGACTGAGTTGCCAAAGTGTGTTCAGGAGGGACTGGCTGTACCCGGAGGGTTGGACCTCTTCAACAGAGGTGGGAAGTAACTAACTACATTTATACAATTTAAGAATATTATCTACAAATGTCACTTGTATCAATAATAGTTATTGACACACATAAAGGCATTTTATGCACAATGATACTTTTACTTGTTATACTTTAAGTACATTTAGTTGATAATACTTTTGTACTTTTACTCAAGTAAGACTTTTAATGCAGGACTTTTACTTGAAATGAAGTATATTGATAATAATGTATTGGTACTTTTACTCAAGTAAAGCACCTGAATACTTCTTCCACCTCTGCACTTCAGCACCATCAGTTCAGTAACGTGAGGAGGAGAAAGAAAATAAATGACTGATTTTGTTGCCACATCTCTTATTGACAGAGGTGGAAGAAGTACTCTTTTCACTTAAGTAAAAGTATTGATACCACATTTTAAATGTTACTTGTTACAAGCAGAACTCATCCATTCAAAATTTAAAAAGGATTGGCATCAAGATATATACTTAAGTAAAAGTACTTGGGCATAATTGTCCATTTCAAAATCATATATATTTATATTAAATTACTACAAACTTAATGTGTATCATAAAATATTACATTATTCACAGAATCCTGTAAAATAATAATCTGAATCAGAATACCTTTATTCGTCCCACCGAGGGGAAATGTACAATTGTTACAGCAAAGAGCCAAAGATAGCTTAATATCACTCAAGAAGCATGCATAAACAAAAATATAGAAATGACACAATTTACAAAATACACATCCATTACATATAACAGTTTAGAGCAGCCAGGTGAAAGTATTAAAGGTGGAACAGCTATTTACGGTAATATTGCACATACGTTGTATTCAGTTTAAACATTGGACGTTTTTCCAGACAAAAACCTTCTGCCTTAAGCTGCTAATGGAAACTTTGTGGACTTTTGATTGAAGCCACTCTGTAAAGACTTTGAGAAAAACAGATTCACTTGAACACAATGAGCACACCCTGCAAATCACTTAGAACCACACTAATGTAATAGCCTTGTTTGTGTTTGGATGTCTTTACTGAAGTGGAAACACCTGCAGTGTGAATAAATAAACAGCAGGAATCTTGTTTGTGGCAGAGCTGAAGTGCATTTGACTCTGTTCATCACAGTGTTCACTAACAAGGCCATCAGCTGTCAGGGTTTCACTTTCCTTATAAGGTTAAAATGCAGCTCCCAAAATACCATCAGTGATCAATGAGAGCTGTGTATGAAGATGTTGTACAACGTTTTAACCACTGAGTAAAAAACTGGCCTTTGTGTAAAGATTTATAAACTTTTTTTAATACCATAACTAGACAGTAACATCCTACTATTTGAATTGGAGAAGCAACAACATTCTTTTCTGATATCATAAAATATTAAGACAGATATTTTAGCATGTTTAGTCCTTGAACAAATGTGTACACAAGCAGCCATTTATGTAAAAATGTGTTTTGATCATATATTTTGCCTTTATTTTAGTCTGCAACTCTTTATACTTTTGAGTTATATTCAATCTAAATTATATAGTTGCATTCTGCCAGTTTCAGCTGATTAACATTAAAATTACTGTAAGTTTTGGCAAACATTATTTTAAAAATGGCTTATACTGCTTTAATGATTTACCTCAGCATGTAAAAAGGAAGAGAGGAACTAACGATGACAATCAACATTTTGTGTTTCCTGATCATGATCAACTTGTTGATTAGTACATGCACTTCTTCCAACAAACCAACCTACCACATGCAAATGCAATGATCTTTAAATAAACAAAAAGTGTTAATATTTATTTTTCCAATAGCACCTGATTGCAAAATGATGTTTACCTTAGACCAGCCCCTAAAATAATCCTCACTGTGTTTACTGTCTACCAAACTAGACTTCTGACTTGTTTTCCTTTATTTTTGCAGAGAAAGTGCAGAGATGAAAGGGTAGAAAGTGGGACAGGATGATAACATGCAACAAAGGTCCACGGACAGAATAAAACTAGGAAGATTCAAATGAATTTGTCAGCATTTCAAACCACTCTGCCACCATGAAACCCAGATTTGGAGAATATATCTAGAGGTATTACGAATAAAGACGGATGTACGCATTAACACACTTAAAAAACACAACACCTTTTGTTGTTAACTCGTCCTTCCCTTATTGTGGCTGAGGAAATTAATCTTTGTTTTCTAATTTACTTATGCTTTCTAAAATCACCATTTTTCACTGTTGTTTTTAGAACTGAACTACATTTGTTAGGCATCAGGTTTTATTACCCTGAGGAGAGGTGCTAAATAACAAAGTACAAGTGTGAAATATTGTTTACACTATAGCAGCACATGCAATGTTTAAAGAGGGCCCCAGCTCAGAGTAGTGTGAATACTTGTTCTGAGCCAAATGTAAATGACTGAACAGACCAGGAGTATAGAGTTTGTCACTCTTTGATGAGTTTTACTAAAGATTTTGTCAGTAGTAAATAAATGATAAGTTTACCTTTCCTCTCTTCCCTTTTAACTACAACATATTTACTGCAAACAGATGCACCTGTGTATATATTGGAGGTTTATAAGGATATCTATGTTAGTATAAATCCTATGTGACGCAGCAGTAAACCCCTCTGTAGTTCAAAACTGTCAAAATGTTGTAATCCACAGTTTTGAGGCCTGGGGAGTTTTTTTCCTGAGCAATCAAAACAACAGTGTGTGTGTGGGAGCACCCATGCTTGTCTTTTACAGAGGGTAGCAACACTGGAGAAAGTAGCATTGTGGGTAGTGTAGTTCTAAATTGGTTGAATGCGCTACTACGTCAACTGCCGCCCAAGTCTAAAAAAACTACACGCCCCACCCGCGCTAACCCCGAGGTCCCGGATGTCTACCGCGCCGGAAGAGAAGAAGGTCCTTTTCCCAGCCATCTTGTGGCTTCATCTAGCGAAGTGTTCGCACCAAGCCTCGTAGAATCGGAGTAAAATCCTGCTGAAGGGGCTCCATCATGCCCGGACAAATGCAAGAAGGTTTTGGCTGTGCCATTGCCAATCGGTTCGACCAGTTATTTGACGATGAGTCGGATCCCTTCGAGCTGCTAAAGCAAGCCGAAGCAAAGAAGAAGGAGGCTCCTGTTCCTGGTGCCGCCAAGACTTCAGCAGCCCAGGCTGCCAAGCAGCCGAAAAAGGAGTCCCAAAAAGACAGAAAAGTCCCACTGGGTGATAAGAAGGAGGAGAGCCAGGCACCTGTCCCACTTAAGAAAGATGGTGAGATATATTTCTGCATTCTAGGTCTAAATTAGTCAGGCTGCAGGTGAAGCGTTTTAGGCTAACATGCTAAGTGGCTTGCTTACTAGCTAACAGCGATTCATAAGCCCCCATGACATGAGGTCCGCATGGCTGCTTTTGTGTCGCTGTTTGCTGTCAGTGGCTGCAAGGTGACATCCATTAAAACGTGTAAATTAGTGTGGTGCGTGGTGCTCCACCGATCCGGAGATAAACAGTTTGCAGGCCAACTTGTTTTGGCTTGTCCCCAACCCCCATCGGCCTTGTTGGACAGGCAGAACCCGAAAGCCTGGCTTACTATAGAAAGTCTCCTAAAGGTGTTTGTAATTTCTCAAAGTCATGATTTTCAGCGCGCCAAAGTGCTGCTTCGGTTACCCGTAATTAGCATCAACAAAAAAAGTGGGACTTTTTTTATTGCATTTTTAAAATTATTAATTAAAGTGGTTGATTTAAAATGTGCCACATGGAAGAACAACTAATCAAATGAATGTGGTTTAAATGCGTTGACTTAATCGTGGTGTGTTTGCAGGTGTATTTGTCACATTAGGAGCAGCAGCGCCTTCATGGTGATGAACCTCGTGGTTGTAGTGTGGGGCGTGTTGAATAAAGCAGTCTCAAAATGCTACTTCCCATTAGCGCATAATACACGCTCGTGCATGCGGTCATCCAAACTCAAATCACTTAATTTCTTATTTCTTACACAAAGAAATACAAAATCTATGCAGGCTGTCATATTTAATTTGACCTCTAGATTTAGCATGCTGAATTGAAGCATCCAGGTACCCACGCACAGGCAGTAAGTTGACCATTATTATCACGTAAATCTGCCGAGTTTGCTCATATCCTTTTACTAAGAGAAGATGAGACAGGTGCGCAGACTATGGTGCCCCAGCTGCTGCCGTGTAGTGGAGGGTGTCTATTTTTGTAGCTGGTGATTTAGGCAATGGGTGGGACTTGTTGTGTCACACTGGGACAGTGGCCATCAACCATGTGTCATGGGGGGTTAAACACTGTGTAGGCATTCATTTCACTCAGTTGGAGGGTGATTTTTAACTGATCTGCATACTTTTTTAGAAAAGGCAACAATGAACGATTATTGTCCTGACTTTTTTTATTATAAAGTAAGACTCGCCTCTATTAATTTTTTTGTAAACTCAATTGTTTTAAATGTTTACTTTTAATAATCTTATTACATTTCAGACCAACATGAGGTTAATCAGTATTTAATAAATGGCTACTAGAGACTGTTTTAGCTCTTTAACTCTGCACATGAATTGAAATTATTTGCTCCATTTAAACAGAACAATCACCCCCTCTCCTTTCTCTTGTCTGGGGCTCCGCAGTGGGTCCTGTTCTATCAGTGCTATTGGTCCTCTAATCCTCCTGTTGTGGTCAATCCTAGGTCCTGCCATCAGGAGAATGGGCCGCAAGCCGGAGGGCGAAGGCTTCAGACCCCAGGTCGGTCAGGGAGAGGGGCGCCCCCCCACAGACAGAAGGCCTGTGGACAGGCGGCCCCCACGCCGCTTCGAGAGGCCTGCTGGTGACGCTGGAGAGAAGCCCGAGGGAGGCGAATTCTCAGTGGAAAAGTGAGTTTATCTTATCAACACACATTTTGATTGAAATATATGAGAGAAGATTAAATCTACCACTACTTTTTGCTATTCTAGCTCAACATGAGGCAATAGTAGAACGCACTATGGGGTGGGGTAGCTGTTAAGGCATTGCTAACAATGATAAGGCTTAGTATGTCAGAGTTTTCCCCTAAACGAATAGGCACATGTGGCTCTTCATCCTATCAGTTTACTTCTGTAGATCTAAATGAGAAAGTGTAGATTATGACCAATTTTAAACATCAGTCAGCCTAGGTGAAGTTAAAGGCCAAGATCAAGTTTTAGGCGGACTTATCCTAACTAACTGTTAATGAATAGCACCTGTTGAATGCATTTAGGTTTCCTGCTGTCATTCTTTGTCTCTTTGATACTTCAAGGATGAAAAGGAAGCCTGTGAATGACCCTCCATAGATTTAACTTCAATTCGGTTGAGAAACCTGTGCTTGTTTTAATTCTGACCATGTCTGTTCTTCTTAGACCCATTGGTGATCGGCCGATGCGAGGACGCGGCGGCGGAGGACCAAGAGGGGCCCCCCGTGGCGGCAGCAGAGGCCGAGGCATGGGTCGCACCGATGGCTTTGACTCCCGAGGAAAACGTGAATTTGACCGACACAGTGGCAGTGACCGAACTAGGTACTTTTAGATCTACCCACTCTTAGATATAACCCCCTTAAAACATGTTTGTTAAAGAGGTTGTGTGAAAGCATGCAGTAAATGTGTCATGACCCTGGCTAAAGCTCATTTTCTCTCAGTAGTCTGAAAGGTGAGGAGAAGCGCGGAGGAAGTGGATCTCACAACTGGGGCACCGTCAAGGATGATGTTAAGTAAGTTGTTACGCACGCAACATAATCAGCAACCATAACACTTCCTGAGTGAGCACCTGCAGAAATACAGTTGTTCTTTCTGTCATGTTTGTTTTAGACAAACCTACAAAACCTGACAGTGTTTGTAGTTGTATTTGGAGAGGCAAATTATTCTTTCACTCTAAAAAGTAAAAGATACTATTTACTTATAAGTAATTGATTAAAAATACTTTATTTTGATAATCCCATAGGGACATTTGTTTTAGTTTTGTACCACTCAAAAGTGAATGGGTAGTTATCCTGCCACCAGTCCAAACTCAGACAATTATAATGGTTTTAGTTAAACATTGATTATATTATGACACATCATACATGAAGATGGCAAGAAGGATCCAGTTCAATGGATGAGCACAAAAAAAGTAATTTATAGTACTTCCATTCTCAGTACTAAACCGTATGACATTTATTTTCCTTCACAGCGAGCTCGACCAATCAAACGTTACTGAGGAGAACCCTGAAGGCGAGGAACATCCACCTGCTGACTCTGAGAACAAGTAAGTTCTTGGTTTTGTTGTAGTTTTACTGTAATTGATAAAAGTTTTCATGAGATACATTTCAACACTACTTCTGTTCCAAGCAATCCACCAACCCTGACTTGTATTAGACATTAACGCTGTGACACTGTGCGTCTGTTTGTGTTGAAGGGAGAATGAGGTTGAGGAAGTGAAGGAAGAAGGCCCCAAGGAGATGACTCTGGACGAATGGAAGGCCGTGCAGGACAAGGAGCGAGCCAAGGTGGAGTTCAACATCCGCAAGGCCAACGAGGGCGCTGATTGGAACAAAGGCTTCGTGCTGCACAAGTCCAAGGCAGAAGTGAGTCAAAACCCCCTCTGCTCATTCTCAACACAATATGTCACATTCAATGTTGCTGTTAAGTAGACTGAGACAGTTTTTTTTAAATTAATGCATCAAGACATCAGTAAAGAAAAACATGCTCTACTATGTAGTCATTTCATAGAGACTTGATTTATTAGTAAATGCTATATCATGATACACCACTGACATAAGTGGTCAGACTTTGCAGAAGCATCACTCGATTAACTGATAAATGAAAGGGCAAAAGGTCGTTTATAGCCCCATGTCCCATGCTTCTATCATACCACAGAACTTGGTGTAACTTGATTTGACCTTTTTTGGTTTGCTCAAGTAGACTTAACAGCGATGTCGTGCAGAAAATATATGGGGAATTTTACATTGTTATTGATTTATGATCATATATTTCAAACTTTATTTTGCCCGTTAGATTTGTTAATGTGTTTCTTTTCTCCATCACAGGAAAAGAAAGAGGAGGTTATTGACCCTGAAATTGAGGAGCTCAAGGTAAAATCTTTATTCCAGTATCTGTTTGCTAATCAAATGCGAACAAAATAAACAAAACCTTTAAACCTACAAAACATTTAAGTCATAAATTGTCTTTTCACTTTCATTCTAATTCAGCTCGATGATGAGCACCACTTCCGGAAGCCAGCCAATGACATCACGTCCCAGCTGGAGATCAATTTCGGAGATCTGGGCCGCCCAAGCCGCGGACGCGGTGGACCACGTGGTGGTGGTGGTGGTCGGGGTGGTCGTGGGCGAGGCGGCCCCGGCGGACCCCCCGGACCTCCCCCTCCTGGAGCCGAGGCCCCCAGGCCAATCCGCGGAGGAAGGACTGACAAGGTAGATGACCTTCTAGCTCTCAGCTGGTCTGACATGTCATTAGCACCTAAAGTACTTCCAGTAAAAAGGCATTGTGTGTTTAGTTTATGTAAGATTAAAAGACAAAGTTGCCAACAAAACTAAAATTGAGTCATTTTGAATTTGATCAGTCAGCCCACTACCTGGAACTCCTCTCATCCCCTTTAAATGTTTCAATTTTCTAACTTTTGTTTTGTTTGCTTTTCCTCAGTCATCTGCGTCTGTGCCCAACGTGGACGACCCAGAAGCCTTCCCAGCTCTGGCTTAAGACCGGCTGCGGCCCCTCAGGCCCACAGGAGCCCCCTGAGCACCTCCACTACGAGGCTTGCATGTTCCTGGATCCTTCAGCAAAGTAAAATGATGGAGAAGACTGTCATTAACTATGGCACTCAAAGTGAGGACTGAGTTTTACCCAATAAAAACAAAACGAAGATGGAAAAAAAAACAGAAATTAACAAAAAAAAAACAAAAAAAGAAAAGGACTTCTTGCTACTCTGGAGCAACTTATTGGTAGAGGTTTTGTACTTGGAAACAAAGTAGCAGGGATGTTTTCATACAGTATTTTTTTCAGAGGTTATGCATTGTCCATTGATGAATATTTGTAATTGCTGCTTGAATATATGCATTTCGAAATGTAAGCATAAGAAGGGTGTTTTTCGCTTGGTGTGAGCCATCGCTTGCTCGCTTTAAAATAGGCACTGTAGGGCTCCAACCCAAGCTCATAAGCTCTGCCACACCAAGTCTTTCTGATGAAGTTAGAGCTTCACGGATACGAGTTTTTTTTCTTTAGCACTGGGATATTGTTTTATATTTTTTACAGGAGGTCTATTCTTCTATGATCTTTGACCTGTAAATCTTGACTATTTTCATACGGTGCAAACAGGACACTCTGATCGAGCGTTGCTCCCCACATTTGATTGCATCGAGGAAATGACGCCTAAATCTGTATTAAGGTTATTTTGTACTGATGTTCTAATGGAGGAATATTTGGTCATTTTTGAGGAACACATTGCTGATTACTCTCCCAAATTTGCATTGATCCTGAGATGTTTGTCAGATGGATCAATTTGAAGCCCAAAGTTATTCCATGCTTTCCGATTTCGGAGGTTTTCGGGGCACTAGTCACCATCTTAGTATCTGTTCCTACCTGCCCATTTCATCTTAGGTTACAGCCATGTGCAAGTCAATGAATGCCTTTTTGTTTTACTTTAAAGAGTGATACGTAGAGGAAGTGTCTTTACACAGTTGAGACGCGGCTGTAGTCTTCTGGAAGCCTTCAGACCTTGTCCGACTGTTTACACACTCCACTCCAAGCATCCTTCAGCCCAGTTTCAGTTTGTTTTTGCAGCCTGTACTGTGCATATCTTTTCCTCCACTGTTGACTTGCCCTGTAGCTTCCACTGTGGCACCACTGCATAATTGCTCTGAAAGAAATACAGTCGTTCATTGTGTGGAACAACTGAAGTGCTCTACAAATGTGTGAATTCTAGCCCTGCTATTAGAGACCTCTGTCGGTAAATAAAGATGGTCGGTAAATCTTTTGCATTGTCACTTATTTAATCCTGCCTCAATACATGCAAACACTGTACAGTACTTACCTTTTTTGATTTTGCTTACAACCACACTTCACTACTATACAAACACTTTAAACGTATCTCATTCTTATGTCGTAGTTCCTCCTTGTAGCCTGTAAATAAGTAGTAGACCCAGTCACTTATTTGTTTTTCATTTAAAACCTAAAATAGCAGGACTGCCATTTTTCTTTTTGATCAGCATCGTTTTCTATTGCTTGTCTTCAAAACCTTTGTGAAATGATGAGCATCAAGCTCTCATTGAACATTTACAAGGCCCAAGCCGGTGGTGTTCCCAAAGAGAGGAAGTGTTAGTCCAGCCATGGGTTCCCCGACCTCCCACCCCTCCTCCTTCACCCCAGTCAAATGACAAATCCTGCCCGGTTTAGGACTGCCCAACTTGACCCACGATAATGATTCTTACCATCTCCTAGATTTCTTACAACTCCTATACATACAAGCAGCTCCAGAAAGCACTTCATTTGATTGACACAAGACCTAACCCACTACTCATGTGTAGCATTCACTTCTTCAAGTCTTGTTCCCTTTGAATGTCAATAGTTTGTTTTAGCCCTTTTCTGGCAGCTCTGCTTACTGCAGGTCAGAGGGTGTTGATACGAGAAAGAAAAAAATATATACTGTTTGTTTTGTCAGATACCAGGCATCACTGGATTTAGAACATTATTCACAAGGGAACAGGACTCAGGACGGGCAGATTACATACACTAGTTTGATGTTTGAAAATTGATGATAACTCTCATTCTGTGTAGAAATCAAACACAATGACTTACTGCTTCAGAAGGGGAAGTAGTTCTTATTACATTCTTATTAAATAGAAAGTCCACAAAATAAAAGGTTTGTCATATTTGGTATGGTTTTGGGGTGATTGGGTCAGAGGAATTTGGGAAATTCAAATGATGGGAAACATCAAGAAGGGTAGCAAAGACAAAAGCATGAGGCATTATTTGATCATTTATCAGAACCAGATTATTTATATCAAACAAAATATAATTAATATTCTTAATATTAATTTAAGAATTCATCACAGTGCCATTTTACCATCATTTATTAACATCACTAGGAACAAATACATCAGGCGGCGAGAGAAAAACAGGCAATGCTCTGAAAATCTGAAATTCCTCAACCGGTGTAGAGTTATGCTGTTAAAATATTTTTTTTGTATTGTAAATCAGTGAGTTATTATACAGTATATGGATCCAGATTGATGGATTGTTACACTTGCAAGTGTTGGTGTGTCCAAAGCTCTTAAAACAAATCCATGGTAATGCACAAAATGAAAACAAAGTATTACTGCTGAAACATAATGAAAGACTATTGACAGCTTCTTCTGATTTCAACAAGCAAGGAGGTAGTTCATGCACATCACAACAAGATGTGTGACAAAATAGACACGGGAACAGAAATAAAGAGGAACCTGGTCACCAGCTCCGGTCATTGTGACCAATGTCTTTTTGTGTAGCCATCCTCTTCCTCTAAAGATGGCTTTCACTCATCTCACCAAAGAGTTTTGGTTTCAGGTCAACACGCACTGTTCTGAAAGAAGTCACCGCAGTCGATTTTGACCGCATTCAGAGTCAACTTCCCTCCAAACTCCAGCGGCTCCATGAAGATGTTGTGACTGGGGAAGAAACCCAGCATTTCCTCTTCCTCCTCCTCCTCCTCCTCCTCCTCCTCATCCATTATTCCCGCTCCGTTTGATGAGATGTAGTCGACGGTGCTGTTGGTGTCCAGGGACGTCTGCCGCAGGTCGGAGCTGTCTGAGTCGTGGGAGAAGCTCTTGATGTAGGTGGTCCGAGGGTAGAGGACTGTGGCCGGCTCCGTCTCAGGACTCAGGCTGGTGGGACGAGGAAGCTCCTCCACGTCCACCAGGATGGGCTCCTCTTCCTCCTCTGCTCCACTGGAGTTACTCAGCTGCAGCTGGAGGTTCATCTTGCCCTGTTTTGAAGGGAGAAAGAGGCTTAAACTATGAACAATGATCAGCTTTTTACAGAGGTGGGCGAAATAATCAGATTGTGTACTTGCTAGAAGTAGAACTAGCAGTCGAGGCGGGCTGGGGATCGGGGGGTGGGATGTTTAAAATAAAAAACTGAAGGTGAGCATTTTGTTTCTGTCCCTTTCTTACTCTATAATTGTATATTTTGTGCTCAATAAAATATATTCAAAAAAAGATATAAAAAAAAAGAAGCAGAACTAGCAGAGAGTAGGAATACTCTGTTACAAGTAAAAGTTTGAATCACTTCATGCTGAAGGGTAGCTTATGAATGTTACTTCAGGTGTACCTTAAGTCTTATTTAAGTGTTGATTATAATTCAAATCACTAATCAAAATGGAAAAGTAGCTAGGGTATGGAAAGTGGAAGTAAAAGTACACTATTAACCTTTGAATTGGAGTAGGGTAGAAGTACAAAGTAGCAGCAAATGGACATCTGAAGTACATGTAAATGAACTAAGTTACCTAACACCTCTGGCTTGTTATAGTATTGTGTATTTTTTCCACTTCTAAATATTTACCTTATCCTGAATACACTCTTTTGCCCACTTGCTGTTAGCAGGATCTGGCACAACGTCGAGCATGAGGCACTGGAAATACACCCAAAACCTAAAGAGAGGGTGGAGACAATATGGCATGGAAAATGTAATGGCATATATTCAATTATTCTTTTTATAGCTTCGTCATTGATTTTTTTATTTATCATTTATGACAACCATTGTGTATTTTCTGCAAAACCGCTTAGAAATATCCCTTTAGAGCGGCTGTTGCTCACATACCTCTGCTTGACTGCTGAGCTCTGGTACAGACCATGGTACAGACACACCAGGAATACTACGATCGGGGCGGCCACTGCACACACCAGTAGAGGGGAGAGTTGGCTCTCCTCTGCAACAGTGAAACAGGGAGAAGTAAGATTGCAGTACATACAATTCGCTTATATGGTACAGTCAGTTAAAGATGCAATGTGAAGAACCGACCACTGTGTCCAATAAGTCTAAATTCAGTAGTCATTAGTGATGAAGAAAAGGCAACGACTAAATAATAGCTGGGAAACAACACGTACAATTTGTTTGAGGACCTGGAAAGGGTTATTAATGCCTTTGTTACCTCGAGGTTGGACTACTGCAACGCTCTGTACGTGGGTATGGACCAGGCGTCAATTAAACGCCTGCAGCTAGTCCAGAACGCAGCTGCACGTCTACTCACTGGCCACAAAAAGCGTGACCACATCACCCCAATTCTGGCCTCACTGCACTGGCTTCCAATTCGGTTCCGAATTGATTTTAAACTCCTTTTATTTGTTTTTAAAGCACTATGGGCTGGCTCCGGCCTATATAGCTGAACTCCTCCAGCGCTACACCCCAACAAGAGCTTTAAGGTCTGCTGACCAGCTGTTGCTGATAGTGCCCAAGACCAGGCTCAAAACCCGAGGGCACCGAGCCTTCGCAGCAGCTGGCCCGAGGCTCTGGAACACTCTGCCCCTCCATGTGAGGTCGGCCCAGACCCTAGGGGTTTTTAAATCTACTCTTAAGACACACTTCTTCTCCCTGGCCTTTTAGTCAGAGCGGAGCATGACTCCTGACTTTTCTCTGTATTTTCTTTTAAATATCTGTTGTAATTTATTGTCTTTTATTGTGATTATAGAAATGTGTTTTTATGTGATTGTAGTTATTACATGTACAGCACTTTGGCCCGACCAAAAATCGCTTTTAAATGTGCTTTATAAATAAACCTTGATTTGATTTGATTTGATTTACAATTCACCAAACTGCTTAAACTACAAGAGTTGGTCAAAATGACACTGCTATCTTCTTTATAAGTAGTATAAGCATATATTTATGATTTCTAAATCTCCACTTGTCACACTATAGTTTACGTTGTCCATCTGTGTTTTGACTATGCTGCTTATCTGTACAACAGCAAACAATAGAGGGTTTCATGGTAAAAGTGTTGCCATGGTGACGCTGTTTGGGGAGAAAATGATTGGTTTTGTTTGTGACGAGAGACGAAGAAGTTAGGTTGGACTTAGGAAGCCCTTCCTTGGAAAATAAACCACAGCGAAACCAGTGAGTACTTGGGACAACAAAGATTTAGCAACAAATCAAGTCGAGGCTAGATTGTTTTTGTGGTGAGTGCTGATTCCTTAAGGATTTTGTTTGCAAAGAATTGTTTCATCCTGATTTATATTGCTTTTTCTATTGTTGCATTTTGAAGGGAGGACATTATACAATATTTTTGTTGCGGCATGTGGTCTCATTAATGAATTATGTTAATGAGTTTAGGGTTTGTTTTGTATACAATTGTGTCATTTTTATGCCATTAGGTTTCCACTTACTGCATTCCTTTAGTGTGGTGAGGTCACATGGGCACCACATATTATTTGAATTTCCTCTCTTAACCCCGTCTTGGAATAATAGTGGCTCTCGAATTGTGACTGTAACCAGGACTTGAACTTTTAATTCACTGTACAGACAAAACAGTAGTATTGATCGTCTTCTTATGTTACTCTCTAGGCAATAAAGCAAATAAGCATAGCCTCCAAAATGTCACAATTTTCCTGTAAATAAAACTTGTAAAGGGGCTTACGCTGCATGAAGAACGTTATCCGATTCCCTACAGGTCCTTCTCCTTTAGCGGTGGAGGCCGTCATCCACAGTATGTAGGCGGGTGAGGACAGGTCCTTGATGACGTGCTCACGCTGCGATGCCTGTATGGAGTCTGCAACACACATTCACATGCACACAGCAGAGGGAAGTTACACATGTGATTGGCTGTAAGACTACATGTTAACATTTGGATGAGAGATGAGAAGAAATGATCCCACACTGTGGAATGATCTGCCCATGCATATCAGACAGGCCTCCACACTGTCTGCCTTTAAATCGCTTCTTAAAACCCACCTCTTCTCCTTAGCATATAGAGCATAGACATCTTTTAGATTGTTGCTTTTATTGCTTTTAAATTGTCTATTGTTTTTACTTGTACTTGTTTTATGGTGTGTGAGCTGTGCTGTGTGATTTTTTTTTGTTTGTTATTTGACTGTACAGCACTTTGGTCTGGAGGTTTTAAAGTGCTTTATAAATAAAGCTGTATTATATTGTATTGTATGATATATAACAACATCTTCACTATGAGTTTCCCACTATTTGTTCACACTTATAATATAATATAATGTTACATTTTTTACATTTATTAAATTGTAGAAACCGAATTCAGACAGGACCTTTTCAGATACACACAGTTGTATCTTTGTCTTTGTTATCTGTTTACTTTATTTTCATTTTATTCAGTAGCTATTTCTTCAAATAGTTAAAACCACAATAATGAATTAAAAAGAATGCTTAAAAAAACAAAACAAAACTCCATCACCTAAATGTACCAGGTGTCAGTCAGTAGTACAGATAAATGGTTCTTACAATGCTTCCTGTGTCCTTGGTTCTCTAAATAGATGTTGTAGTTTGTGAGACAACCTCCGCGCTGACCCCTGGGAATCTCTGCCCAGGTCACTCTCACCTGCTTCCCCTCAACCGTCTGCTCGACTGATGGACCAGCTGTTGGGGCTGCAAACACACGCAGAAAGAAACACTTACAAAACTGTTTTTACTATCGTTTTACTAGCTTTCTTTTCTGCCAGATATGTTTATGCACTTATGTAACACTTAGACTTAGACCTTACCTGATTCCAGAGTAGTGACCCCTGTAAATCTGGTCCTTCTCACTGAGCTCTCATTATAGAAAACATACACTGCTCCCTCGTAGCACTCAAATGGCTTGACATCTGCGTAAAGAAAGACATAGATATAGCAACAGAGACAAATACAATGGAGGACATAGAGTAGTGTTTACTGGGGCTGTACTGCGTAGCTTAAAGCTCATTCATAACGTTATGTTTATATTGGAAATCTTTTCATTCATTTCCTTGCTTTTTTATTCACCTGTAATTCTCACAGTTGCAAATAAAGGCTATATATATTCTGAACTAATATTAGTATTATAGCAATTGTAGATTTAGATTCTATTGGAGGCTGTGTGTTTGTTTCTGACTTGTTTGAGCCAAATATCTCCAATAATTCCAGAGCGTTACAATTTCAGCATTTTTCGAAAAAGCTTCAACATTTAACAACAAGGTTTTATCTTTATAAAAAAAAAATATTCCGTTAATCTGTATGAGCTGGCATTTAGCCTTTAAAAAAAAATGTAACTGAAACGTTTCATTATTTAAAAACAACTATTTTACCCATATATGGTTTTTCCAAATTTAGGATTTTTCTCTGAGGTTTTTCCAGTGTCATAATCTCAATCTTTATCTCAATCTTTATTTATTTATATAGCACATTTAAAACAACCTTCAGTTGACCAAAGTGCTGTACAGGCAATAACTACAATATTAAATAACACAATGGGAGTACAATAATAAAACAATAATTAAAAACATGATAACAAGCACAATAACTAGAAACATATAAAAAACACATACAAATGTAAAAATGTAATGTTCAACTAGTATTAAACGCCAGTGCAAAGAGGTGAGTTTTTAGCTGAGATTTAAAAAGTTCAATAGACTCAGCAGTCCGGATATGTACTGGGAGGCTGTTTCACAGTCTGGGAGCTGCAACACTGAAAGCCCTGTCACCTCGGGGTTTTTTCCTGCACCGAGGAACCACCAACATATTTTGCTGAGCTGATCGCAATGCTCTAGCTGGAGCATGGGGGTGCAACAACTCAGACAGGTAATGTGGTGCCAGTCCATGCAATGATTTAAAAACAACAAGTAAGTACTTCAACTGGATCCTGTAACTGACAGGAAGCCAATGAAGATCTGCCAAAACGGGTGTGATGTGGTCATAACGTTTCTTCCCAGTAAGAAGGCGGGCAGCCGCATTTTGGACCAGCTGCAGGCGACGGAGTTACAATAGTCTAAACGAGACGTTATAAATAGGTGGATTAGCTGTTCAAATTCCTAACTAGGAAGATAAGCTTTTACCTTCCCCAGAAGCCGCAGCTGGAAGAAGCTTGTCTTGACAACTGAGCTTATTTGTTTGTCAAATTTAAAACATTTGTCAAAGATGACTCCAAGATTTCTGACAGAGCAGAGGGACGGCTGTAGGAGGCTAAGGGGCCGAGTACACTATTAAAGCCATTCAGGAGTTCAGACTCTCCAAATATTATAATCTCTGTCTTGTTTTCGTTGAGAGTCAAGAAGTTGATTTCCATCCATGATTTTATGTCTTTCAGACAGCTAAGCAAGGCAATCCTAGATTCATTATTTGCTTTTATAGGCAGGTATACCTGCAAATCATCTGCAAAGCAATGGTACGAAATGTTATGCTTTTTAAAAATTGACCCCAGAGGTAGTAAATACAGACTGAACAGAATGGGGCCTAGGATAGAACCTTGAGGGACCCCATATCCTGGGGCTACAGCTGAAGAATACTGGCCAAGATGCACAGAAAAGGTCCTTTCTGACAGATATGATTGAAACCATTTTAGGACATTACCTTTAATTCCAACTCACAGTTCAAGGCGTGATAAAATTATTTGGTGGTCAATGGTGTCAAAAGCAGCAGACAAATCTAAAAGCACAAGCACAGCAGAATTCCCAGAATTGGCAGTTCAAATAAGATCATTAAAAACTCTTAGGAGAGCAGTTTCTGTGCTATGGCGTGATTTAAAATCAGACTGAAACTTCTCTGATATGCAGTTGCGCTAACACCACTTTCTCTAGGACTTTAGACAGGAAGGGAAGCTTAGAAATAGGTCTAAAGTTGGAGAGAACAGAATGATCAAGGTTCTGTTTTTTGATAAGAGGCTGCACTACAGCATGTTTAAAAAAGGCTGGAACGCAGCCTGAGGTGAGAGAGATATTTATCAAAGTTAAAATATATGACACACTAGTAGTAAAAACGTCTTTCAGTAGTCTCATAAATGTGATAACTTGACATAGACCTTCACAGCTTCATTAATAAACACCACTTTGAATGTACGAAACACACGACATTCAGTATAGACCTAGTATTTCCTTTAACTCTCTAATACCCACCTGTTATAACAGTATGGTTTTCATTGCGGCCCAGTCCGACCCATCTGAGCTCCATCGTGTGGCCCTCGGGGAACCACTCCACCACAGACCGCCTCACTGCAGCGTAGGGCTTCTTCCAGGAGAGGGTGACACTGAGGTTGTCTGCAGCAACATGCATGCGCACATCTTGAAGGGGATCTAAATGCCTCAGCTTCACTAAAAGAGAGAAACATGCAGCCTCAGTATTACTGATGCATCTGATATTTACCTCACCTTCATCAAATCTCAAAGCCCATTTTGTGTCAAAGAGATTTCTCACTGGTTATCATTAGGCCAGGAGAAAAGGAGAAAAGGTATTTAAAGTAAAAAATAGATTAATCTATCATTTTAAAGCACAGCAGAAGTTATACAAGCTTCACTAAAAGAGAGAAACATGCAGCCTCAGTATTACTGATGCATCTGATATTTACAACACTGCTCACCAAAAGAGGCTGGCTTCTTGCGGATAATTACTTATACAAGGCATTCCTTTTTTATTACCTTTTGTGTATTCAGATGTAATATTGGCTGGAGGGGACGACCCTTTGGAGTTGCAAGCCCACACTGACACTTCACATTCGGCACAGAAAGGGACCGAATAACTCCTGGCTTCGGCGCTAACGTTAGTGATGTTCTGCCGAGAGTCTGGGCTGTAAACTTGGACTCTGTATGAAAGGATTTTCCCTTTGGCAGCAGAAATGCTCAGCTCCTGCAGTCAGAGGATGTTTAGAAGTGAGTTATTACGTTTAACATCATACAAAGTAAAAGTAACAACAACATGAGGGTCATGTGCTTTGGATTTTACAGTCTTTACTGACGGCTCAAAATCACCACACAAAGAGAGCATGTCAGACATGCACATCATTTCTGTTCAGCTCCTCTTTTCTTGTAAACTGAAACTATCAGGTTTCACTCATCTCTCATTGTCTTCATGTGACGTTAAATGAGTGTGTGTGTGTGTGTGTGTGTGTGTGTGTGTGTGTGTGTGTGTGTGTGTGTGTGTGTGTGTACATATGTGGTTGAGAGTGGGGATGTGCAAGTGTGTGTGTGAGGGTGTGAGGGTGTCACCGCATCAGTGGTCAAGGGTTGACCTTTAGTGTGTGCAGGAAGTACGGGAAGATTACAAAGTGTTACTATGGCAACAACACCTGACACCCACGCAGACCCGAAGCACGAGAGGGAGCTCATGAAACTGTACAGCAGTGTTCATGTGCATTCACAATCATATCAACTCACTTAAATAAGATGTAAAACATACCTTCCAATACACTGTCAGGGATCTAAAGTCAGAGGCCGGTTCAGCGTACCACACATCCAACTCTTTGGCAGGAGCTAAAAACAAAAAACAATCTGTCACTGGACCATAAAACTAAAAGCATTCATAAAAAGGTTAATATTTGAGTCTTTGAATTTCCGAACGACTGTTTTTTTCAATGGCAGAGTTAAAGACATGTTTAGAGAATTAAGATTTCTCAACGACTTCTTTAAAAGTTCTCAACTATAACTTTGCAGCTCTGTCACATTTTCCTACGTGAGCTGAAGTCAGACAACAATGAGTTACACTTCCAAGAAACCTCCATATCTATACACACTGTTGCCCATAAAGTTGGAATTATTTTGTTCATCTATGACATTGAACATCCAGATAACTCTCCTCAAACTAATCTATTACATTTTCTGCTGTTGGAGATTTAAAGCCGCATGTTCATGGGAGGCTAAAGTAGGAGTTAAACTTCAATGATGTCTAATAATTGAGTCTTCAAATACGTAACCTCACCTTCATCAAATCTGAAAGCCCATTTTGTGTCAAAGAGATTTCTCACTGGTTATCATTAGGCCAGGAGAAAAGGAGAAAAGGTATTTGAAGTAAAATATCAATAGATTATTCTATAATTTTACACATAAAGCAGTTGTGGGAAAATGCTTTTATTACTTTCCCAATAAATGTAATTGTTTAGAGGAGTAGATTAGCTTCCTTCTTTATTTTTTAAATCTCTGTAAGATGATTGCACATCAAGAAAAATAGCAATATAGTGTAATTATGTGTTCAATGCATGCTTAAACAAAGAAAATGTTAATACCTTTGACCAAAAATGTAACTGCAGTTGTTTCTACCTCTACCTCTGCATCTGTTAGAAAGCTGATGACTTGTCACTGCTGCACATTCATATCTCATACATCAGACCTTCACATCTTCACACCATCAGTATTACAAGTGTTACATGATATTTCCAAGGAAGCATCACTCCCCTTATTGTTACTTCACTTTCTTTGCTCTTGCTCAATGTTTAACTGATAAACACTCAAGTACTTCTGTAAGCCACCGCCCATACTGTCTTATCGATAATGAATGGTTTTGCTCTACACACACAAACCCATAAGCACTGTTTCAGTGGCTTATAGGTATCCTGCAGACAGTGAGTGGTGACCTGATAACTGCCTCAAAAAACCCAAAGAAACGGAAACATCATCTGATATCTTTCATAGATAAAGTGCCACAGAGAGACTGTAAATACTCCGTTCAGATATCATTGCTTGCACACAGACAGAAACAGAGGTTCTTTCATTCAGGAAGTGCAAAAGTAATCAGCAGGTTAGTGTAGTGAAAACAGACCACTTCAACTTTAACCCCCAACAGTTTCTAAATGATACATTTGTGGGCGCTGCTGTCACAAAAGACAACCGGATCGCTTTCGGTTTTCCTCAGAGCCTAGCAACCACCAACAACACACTACATTCATTTTTATTAATTTTTTCCCACATCATTTCTGCTCCTGAGCATTATAACTGTAAATAAGTCACATTGATACTCTTTGATCACTAACCTCTTCCTGTTTTGACTGCACAATGGTTGACTTACTTCCTTTGTGCCTTAACTCAAGCCATTTCCCAGGATATTGTACTAAGTGTCAGACAGAAGTGCATAGTGAAGGTGATGCTTACAGGCAAACAATCTAACCTGATTATTACATTGTGAAATCAACTTTACTCCACAATAAATGAAAGCAAACAGGTTTTCTTCTGCCAGTGCTTTGCTTACCTTCCTCTTCAGTCCAGTTGGAAATGTTAGCGCTCCACAGACTCCACAGGCCGGTGCTGAATTTGGATCTGACTCTGAAGTGGTACAACGTGTAAGGCTCCAGAGAGGCAACCTGCACTGGACTCATCTGCACACCCTGTGAGCAAAACATATGTGGTTTTAATCTTATTGTAATTGATATCAACTCACTCATCCATGTTCCAATAAAGATTTCTCGCTGCCATGAAGTACCATTTAGGGTCACACTGCAAAAACACCAAATAAATTCAAATTTTGCTTGTTTTTAAAAATGTGGCAACATTATAAGTGTACTGTACCTTTGTGCACATCCACCTGACACATATATTTATTTTGCTTTGAATTAGCAGAAGAGCTATGAGTTCTCAGCATGCAGTGACTTTATGTCTTCAAAGAGTTTGAGAAATCTTCCTCAGCAAACATCTTATTGAAAGTCCGTACATTTATAAATTATAAATTGCTCTTATTGTCATTTCACAGTACAGGTACTATGTAACAAAATTGTTCCTCTGCATTTGACCCATCCTAGTGTTAGGAGCAGTGTGCTGCAGTGTCCGGCACCCGGGGAGCAGTGTAGGGAACGGTGCCTTGCTCAGGGACACCTCGGTAGCACTTGGTCTTGCCGGGACTCGAACTGGTGACCTTCAAGTTGCCAAGCCAAGTCCCTATCGACTTCGCCACCACCGCACTAGATCTCTGCATTTGACCCATCCTAGTGTTAGGAGCAGTGAGCAGCCATTAGGTCGGCACTCGGGGAGCAGTGTAGGGACAGCACCTTGCTCAGGGGCACCTCGGTAGTTACTTGGTCGTTCCGAGATTCGAACCGGTAACCTTCCGGTTCCCAGGCCGAGTCCCTACGGACTGAGCCACCACCGCCCTAAACGGAGGGCTCGTCAAAATCTGCTCTAATCTGAACAGTTATAAGACTACTTACTGAGTCTGGAGAAGATGTCCATGTCTGTGTGTCCGCTCTGTATTGGATCTCCAGGTGCTGAGTCATCACAGGCTGCTCCACTGTGATGGTGCACTCTTGGGAAGTGCAATCCGGTTGGCGAAGAACAGGAGTCGATGGTATCTCTGCTCAGATTAACACAGAATTATCAGATCAATTAGACAAATTAAGACAGCCTTATAATACCAGTACATCAGCAACAGACTTCAACTAACATACAAATGTCATAGTATTTAATCACATAAAAACTCATGATGAGTCAGACTATGCAAAATGGTTATGTAAAAGGTCCTATAAAAAGTCCGGAACCAGTCAAGCTGCAGATACATCCATTCCTGTCCAAAATATATTTTTTCAGGATTTCATCCTATTTATAAATTGTCATAATAAGCATATTAGTTGTTGAGTCCAAGTGGACTTTGTTAAAAAAAAGTCCACTTAGTTATTACGAGGATTGCACTACTTGAATATTGGCACAGACTTATGGAAAACTCACACAAAATGTAAATAAAGCCTTAACATTTTTAACGTTTGATTTCTTTAAAATCGGAAGTAATGAAGAGATACGATTCATCAGCTCAAACATACCATAAGAGGCATTCATTGCCTAGTTCAAAGAAGGGTGGAGGGAGTTTATAAACTTGAAGATAAGTGCATCAAAGAAGGACATATTACATTGCAAAGAAGCACTAGAACGGTCATGAGAAATGACACGCTATTTATGCAGAAGTTGCCAAGAACCTCTCCAAATACTTGACTGTATGAATGAAAATATGCTAGTGTCTTACTAATGTCACTCAGTGTGTAGTTCTTGTGGATGGAAGCTGCAGAGCCCAATGCATTTTTGGCGTCGACCCACACAGAGATCATCAGGACGGAGCCGTTCACAGTGACGCTAGCTGACCGTTGATCAGTTGCCTTACTGGAGAAGTTGTCCAGCATCGGTGCATGTGTATGGTTTTTTGATAAAATTGTCATCCTGAAACACACAAAGCCACATTTTATTTTACTGTAGATCCACCAGTATGATAGTATTGTTGTACTTCTAAATTAGTTTAGTTTTTTTAACTCACATCAGCATTAAATCATTCTTCAGAAAAGTATCCCGTCCTCTGTCCCAACTGCAGAACACATCTCCACTATCACTATTTTTGATTTTGTAGGTGCATGAAATGTTTTTAGGGCTCTCTGGTGGATCTGATGGACAAACAGGACGTACAATTAAGTGTTGAGCATAGAACCTGAACCCATTACTGTAGGACTGTCAAATAAGGAAGTGGTACATGAAGGAACACACATTTTGAGTATTTATGTTGATAACATTGTGTGCATGTTTAGTGTAAGAGAACTGCTATGCTGCATGTGTCAAGCTTGTTTTTAGTCCTCATTTAGCAACAGGTCTGTGGTCAGAACTTATCACATTTTAATCTTTGACACTTCGCTGCGCCTTGCTTGCAAAATGCAGAACCAACCCTACCTCTTTTTTTAACAGCTCTTGTAGCTTGAAAAGTTACAGTAATGTCTTAAGATATGGAAGCCTCATCTCTAAGCCCCATGCAGGGTCACATTCTCATTCACAGAGTTTTGAATAAGAATAATGTATACATCATCACAATAATCAGTAATTTCATTTGAGGTAAAATAGCATGACATTCCCTAAATGTGTCAACTTTACTGCAGTTAACATCAGTATTATCGTTATTAAAAGAAAATCAGACTATAATAAGCAAAGTTGTTTAAATCTCTTTATGGATTTTAGTGTAATGCATCTCAATTTGTAAAACTAAGCTTCTGGTAAAACCTCTAATGGGGGAGGTATCCTAATTCATGAGATCATAAGACATTTTGGCTTCTTAACTCCCCTGCCCTTTTTTTCATATATGTACATATTTGCAAATAAACTAAACTTGTTTCAGAAAGGGATGCTTTTCCTTTTTACTCACATCCAGTTGAGAAGTCCTGTCCACAGGAGTCACAGTCAAAGGAAGGACACTTACAGCTATATGTTTTCTTCTCCGTTATGTTAACCACGTCGTAATATATTGTAGAATTGAATACTTTGTGGGGCAGTTGTGCGTTATTTTGGCCGAAGAATTTGATTTGTTTGATGCAGTCAACCATTAAACTGGTGCAGTAAATCGTAAAATTGGAGCCGAGCAGCACATAATTTCCATCATTACTGGACTTGAGGTTACAGCACTTCTTACCTGAAAGTAGAAATGTTAACTTTTATTAACTTCATGTTCATAAAATATAGTGATGAGAAGTTAAGAAAGCCACTGATCATGGATTTGTTGAATTTGGAACAGATAAGGAAGAGTATTTCTGCATATATGCCTTTCACAAAACACATATTAATCCATAAACCTCATGCAGATGAAAAATACATTAACACACACATACACACACACACACACACACACACACACACACACACACACACACACACACACACACACACACACACACACACACACACACACACACACACACACACACACACACACACACACACACACATGAACATGTGAAAACGAAATTTTAGAAAATGATTTGCACAACAGTCTGAATTTACCCTCGCATAGCTGCACGGTCAACACAGTGACAGCAGTGAGGATGGCCCATGTGTGGGACAGTGTCACCATCATTGACTGCTATGTTACCTTAAAACATAAAAAACACACAACATATATGAGGTCTATCATGATTTAGGATAGAGCAGTTTTAAAGTTATTTACTGAGGAATAATGATTGATAGTAATGATCCAATGTTTTACTCAGTAAAACACATTTGCTTCTTTATGATCATCCTGGTCTCTGGCGCTTATATAGTTAAAAGCATATTAAAGAGTTCAGGCAGAGCCCTATAGCGACACATATATGGCAGCTGCATGCAGTCAATAATGCCGGACGGTAATAAAAACAGAAAGTCATACTCACCAAGACATCACATCTCAGCATCATATCAACCTTTATTGCCAAAGGAGCCTTTCAAAGCCATATCATTAAGTCTTCCTCACATATTTCATCAGAGCAGAGTGTCCAAACTGTGGTGAGCTGACGGCAGACACTCCGTGGTGGTGACTGACTGCTGCCTCTGGTGTGTAGTGACACACTTCACTCACACACTTCACTCACACACTTCACTCACACACTTCACTCACACACTTCACTCACACACTTCACTCACACACTACTTCACCAAGGAAACTAGACTCACAAAGGCTGTGCAGATTCAGGAGATTCGTCGTTAGGTAAAAGCAATAGTGGAAAAGAGGTGGAAGAAGTACTCAGGTGGAAGAAGTACTCAGATGTTGTAGGTAAAAGTAAAAGTAACAGAGTGTAGGTGTACTCTGTTAAGGGAAAGTCCTGCTTTGAAAATGTTACATAAGTAAAAGTACAAAAGTATTAGCATCTCAATATACTTAAAGAAACAAAAGTAAAAGTACTCATTATGTAGAACACCATATGATTTGATCAAAATTATTAATGCATTTAAGTTTATCAAAGCTGGTAAAGGTGGAGCTAATTTTAATTACCGTGTGGGATAGCTTGTGAATTTACTCCAGGTGTAACTCAAGTCTTATTTAAGTGTTGTTTATATTTGACATCATTAATCAAAATCTGCTAAGTAACTAAAGGTATTACATAAATGTAGTGCAGTAAAAGTACACTAATTCACTTTGAATTGTAATAGGGTAAAGGAACAAAGAAGCAAAAGTCAATTACAAGTCTATCAAATGTTCAGTACAGTACATGAGAACAAATACTTTACACCACTGGTTACTAAAGAGCTCTCTATACTGAACTTGCCTACTAGTACTTTTATTGTTACAGTCATTGCAACTATATACTCAATTACATATTTGAAGCACATAATGTAGGCTACCTGTCTAACAACTTTGGTTGCTATTTACTTTTCAGATCACAATGTCTTCATACCCTTCCTGTCCAGTAAAAACCATGAATCTACCGATTGGGTGATTTCAGATTAACTGAAGGATCAAGTGGTCATCACCACAAGCCTTTAACAACTCCAGCAGTAACGTCACACACATTAATAATCTAAAAACATCACATGTCTTAGTAAAACACTGACAGGGAACATTTTACTGCACAATTACTTTGACTATTAATGCTTAAAGTATATATTTTACTGCTAATTCTTATTTACTTTGACTTTAAATGTATTGAATATTTCTTTCATCACTTGGCACTACAATGACAGATTATTATTTCCTGTAATTTTCTAACGTCTGGACATTGAAATAAATAACGTAGTCTTTAGATTTTCTCCAGCATTTTCAAAGCTTCCTTATAAATCTGTCCTTATGAATCACTACCAAAATGAAGAAGACAGGGATTCAGGTTTAATCCCATAAATGCCTGATTCCCACATGGAAGATTTAGAGGATTTATTTGTATTCTGACCTGATGAGGAAAGTCTGCAGGTTGATGTTCATAATAACTTTTAGAGTCTGACAACTGTGAGAGGAGGAGCTGCTGAGCACAACAACCTGCAAGATGCATTTTCATCATCACATTTTCCACGCCACCCAGAGTCTCTCACACTCTCACTCTCTCCATCGTATCTTTGTATGATATATTTGGGGGACTTTCCCTTAAAACTGCACTAACCATTTAACCTTAAGGTGTATAAGCACAATACTGGTTTATAATAATGTATCGACTGCAGTGTTGCACACAAAACATCAGAAAAAGGGATGAGAGAATCCATTTTTAGATGCCCCCTGAATATGTACTGATTCTTAAACTTCTCTTAGAGAACAAAAGACCCCCGAAATTTTACATTTTCAATAAGGAAGTGAAACAACTCTCAGGAAGTGTTAAAAAAACGGTGTTTAACTGCAGGTGGTACATGTGAAAGGTTCAGGGGCACATTTTAATACCACAAAACTGAGCTGAATTTATGTAACAGGAAGACCCCACAACTGACTTTTGTCTGGATGTGTTTTGGAAAGAGTTAAACTCAGTGTCACTTCAGCGTCAGATAATTAACAATGGCTAACAATAGAATCATACAGTGGTCACACCTTAATACTGAAATAAAACAAACACGTTCAGCAGTAAATAGAGATCAGCTGTGTATGACTTAATTGTGACATGTGCAGGATGAGTTACATCTCTATAATTACAGCTGTGTATTTACGTAACATGCGGTTCAAAATGCTGTGACCATGGTTTTATTAATTACTTATAAATAATGTATTAATTGTACAGCTGAAAAAACACATTTTGGTTGCCAGATTGTGCAAAGTGCATTTGGCAGGGCAACCAGACCACAATATATTCAATTATATCTTAAAATAGCAGACTTCAATAATGATTATAGAGAATCAAAAATTACTTAATAATGTTCATAATTGCCAACTATGTACTGTCTTTGTAGTAAGTCAGGAAAAACAACTATTATTATTATTTTTTTTTAAATGGTCAAGTGAGATGAAAAATAAATAGAGAAATATTGTAATTTTCTCATAGACTTCTATACAATCAGACCTCATATTGCAACCAGTGGAGTCGCCTCCTGTTGGCCATTAGAGGAATGCAAGTTTAAGGGATTTCTATTGAGGCTTGACAAAATAAACTTTTCTTATTCATTTATTTACTTAGTTTTGAACAGAGCCGCTCATTACATTACATTTCATTTAGCTGATGCTTTTATCCAAAGCGACTTACAATAAGTGCATTCGACCAAGAAGATACAAACTTGAAGAAAACAGAATCATATAAGTACATCAGGTTTCATAGAGCCAAAACATTTCAAGTGCTACTCAACTGGCTTTAGATAAGCCAGTCCTTTGTTAGTATATAAGTGCTTTGTTAGTATATAAGTACATCGCTCATCATTACAGATCACCTGAAACATGATTACCCCAAGGGACAGTTGTCTTCACTTCAAGTAAAGTGGTGCTTGAAAATAATGCTTTCTTAAAAATCAGTTAAGTAGTGCAGATTGTCCTGTGTGTGTCGTTCCCATTGGCCCTGATATCTATGACAGTGTGTCGCAGCGTGCAGGGCTGCTCACGGCAGCTCCTTGAGGGAAATAACCACCAGTCAGGGTTATCTCATCTGTAGACTGAGATAAACAAGTGTCCGTAGTGTGAGGAGTCATTTTTTCCCTTTCTTGTAAATCAAGGGTTGACTCTCCTTCCACATTGTTCTCAGTCCCCCTCCTCCCCAGTAAAAAGCCTTCATTCAAGACATTTGTTTTTTCAGGAGTTTTGGGCCACAAAAGAGCACCAACTGAGCTGAGATTCAGCTCCAGAGGTGGATCAGTGGGCTCCACCTCCACTCTGGACAGAAAGCCTCCAAGTAATCCTTCAAACACACAACTGTCTTCATCTAAACTTGATGGTAGGGCCCTTTGCTCTTCCTCTGTCTCCTTTACCTCCTCTTGTTGTGGAGTCAATGTGGCAATCTGGGGTTTGTAGCCATGCTCCTGCTGGCTGTCAAAAAGCATTGTCCCGCGGTGTGACATTAGCAAGGGTGTGTCCTCTGTGGGTTCTCCTGATGTATCCTGGGATGATTCGACGTGGATGGTGGGATACACGTCGTCCCTCTCCTCGTGAGAGATAAAACTGATGGCCGACAGCGGAGGGTCGTCTTGAGAGGAGGAAAAGGACGGTTCACTTCCAAACTCCTGTGACGAAAACAACAACAATAAAAGTAAAGCCATAGAAAGTTGATGAATATACTGCAATCATGTCGTATAAGCGTGTGTTTTATCAAATGTCTGGTGTTCATTTCAAGCAGCAAGTGGCATGTTGTCAGAGTGAAGCAGAACATTACAACAATATGAATAATAATGATATGTCTGTGGGAGACAAACTCCCTCACAAGGGAACATTGGGATTTTTCACACACACTACAAGAATAAGATAACTCCCAAAAGCATAAAAGGGCCCCTTTAAATTCAAACTTTGACTTCGGAGCTGCCTCACATAGGGTCAAACTTTTCTGCTATATAGCTTAGGGCCTGACCCAGATGTGCTTTAAAAGTGATCAGTAAAATCTTAAATCAAGACTTTATGAAAGCCAATAGAGAGATGCCAGGATTGTACTGATGTGATGTGATGTAGTTTGTGTGAAAGCATACGTTTAATTGTAGAGATAGATCACATACTGCCATAGCCCAGGCTGGTAAACCTCTAGATACTACATTGTTGTTGTCTTTGATCAAATATAACTATTCTTGTATTGTTCCTGTTGGTGTAGTTGTAGAGTTGTTGGTCTTTTAGTGACAGCAGTTCACACAAAAAGAGGTAACAGTGAATTCATTACCTTCAATAGTCTAATGGCATTACTGTTTCCAAGTTTTGGTAAGTTCTCATCAAGCCAGGCCGGTCCCCAGGATATACATTTCTGTTTAATCCTGAGATAGAAAGACACATTTCAGTATTGATAATGTTGGTAATTATCAGATGCAGTAACCATGCATGATGTACAGGATTCAGAAAAGTATTGTTAAACTGCTACTGTGTATTACTAATAATGGCAATGCTACATTGCATGAAGCACACATTCAGTATCTCCACAGCTAAAACCACGTATCGGTTTGGGTTGATTTGACCACGTATACAGATTTTAATCTTTGCGAAGGGGTTTCTTTCCATTTAAATCATGTGGCTTCATGATCTGGGGTTCATGTTGCGGTTTTGCATTTCATGAAGTCAGCCACAGTGGAATCCATCCAGATTACTAGTAAAACAAAACCTATGTGCATTCAAAAATCATTTGCAGTGAATTAAGAAAGCAGTGTTGTTGATCCTCAGAAATACTCTCACTATTGTTAGATGATGCCTGTTGTTATGATTGTTTTGTTTCCATTAAACAATAGTACATAAGTCATGCTTATTAATACCTTTTTCTCACACAACTCCAGCACATCAGGTTGGCTACGATCACCAGAAAGAGGGTTATGATGAAAACGATCACAATCACCAGGCCAGCTAAAGGAAAGAAGAAGGAAAAGACACAGCAATTTTCAGGGAGTTGAGATACAAAGTTTCGTTAATCGTACCACATGAGGATTTCTTGCCTATGTATAAAATAAAAGGGAATTACAGATACTGGGAAATTACTGACCTGCAGGGTATTTAGGCTGGGAGAAGATCCGGTTCCCCGGCTGCCCTTCTCCTGCGGAGGTGGAGGCGGAGAGCTGCACAGCCAGAGTTCTTTCAGGACAGTCCAGCCACAAAGTCCTGGGGCCGGAGCCAGACACCGTCACTGGATAAAACACAGTCATGGTTTCTGTTGGGGAAATATTTTCCTGGGCCAATAACTTTGACCCAGTTTATC